GTAAGTCTTCTTCTGCTGGGCAGCGTGTATGCACATGTACTTCCATACGCCCGCTGGTAAAGCTCGCGAGTACGTACGCTAACTTAGAGTCACACGCAAATAATGGTCTGGCAGCCCCTGGCACGAATACGACTTTTCTCTGCGGACTGGCAAGAGCACGCGCGGAGGGCAGATCAGGGCCTGCGTATACAGCGTCGAGATACGCCCCGGGCCCGAAACGAATGTCGGCTCCCAAAGCTTGGCTTTGAAGGAGACTATCCGCCTAGCCCAGCCAGGCATTAAGGCGAAAGGCTCCAGGGTCGCTACTTCACCATCCGAGCTCGCTGCCGTCCAGCGATCAGACAAGTGGATCTGGGTCGAAGCGCCACGCCTTGAAGCCGGGTTTGAGTGGGAAGTCCGGGGACAGGCGCGAGGTTGGACATGCATCGAAGTCAGACCTGTCAGCGAAGGTGAACGATAGCACTGAGAAGGGCGATACCAGCTGATGCAGCCGTTGAAGACTGAAAAGTTCCCATTCCTCGTCGTTTTCAGCTTTTGCACAGCCTCACCGGGAGTCACAGATTGCTGCCAAGGCTCCAGATGCGGCGCTCTCTGAATCAATGCAGGAGCTTTCATTCGGATCGCAAATAATTCCTCCAGAAGCATCAGCCTCTCTTCCATCTCGCTCAATGACTCGTGGAGCAGTCCCTTCAGCCAAAGCTCGAGATCATGAGGCATACCCACCTCCAAATCCTGAACCGAAGACCATCGTTGCGTGGGCTTGCCTCATTCTCAACACGGCATCGCCCACACTCAAGGTTCACTACACCAAATTGGCTTATGACGCTTTTCTTGCTGGGAAATGCACCAAAATAGGAGGAGGCTCGTGGCGCAGGAAAGAGAGACGAGTGGGTGAAGATGGAGGAGATGAGCCCGGGTCCGCCTATGGAGGCCCCTCAGCGTCGAGCTGGGAGTGGCACAGGAGCGCAGACGAAATACCGCCCGAGAAGCCTCCACGGCAGACAGACAACGTGGTCAAACCCGGATTTGAGGCTAAGCGCGGTAAAGGTGGAACGGAAAGAGGCAGGATAGCGTTGCTGCGTGAGTTTAGGCATCCTCTGAATCTTGGAGCAGCGGCGTGACGGCGTCATACCAGACTGACTGTTCTGTACTTGCTGCAAACTACGTAAGACTCACTCGCGAACATTGAACAAGTAAGTCGCGCCCGCTAGGCGTTTGTCATCCGAGCATGACGAATCTTACCTGTTCACGCCCCTCTCGTCCACAGTGGGCTATAGACCTCGCCTGGGACATGGTAGCCATCTCACCCCACTTGTATGCGGAAGCACTCTCGCCACCCTCAACGTCTGACTCGAGTCAAACGCACAAGGCGCTTCGACCCCCTCTCCAAATGATTGCCGACTTTGTGAGGATGGCCGCAGACGAAGCGAAGCATTTCACGCTGCTTTGCGAGCGTCTTGAGAGTTTGGGAGTCAAGTTTGGAGATTTGACGGTGCACCATGGTCTCTGGGAGACTGCTAGAGACACCCGGCATTGTTTGGCAGCTCGGTCAGTCTTTGGTGTCATTCCCGCTGCATCGCTTCCCTATCCTGCTAACTCGACTGCAATTTCCCGGCGCTCAGGCTGTCAGTCGTTCATCTGGTCCATGAGGCGAGAGGCTTGGACGTCAACCCAACCACCATAAGTCGTTTTGTCAAGGCAGGGGATGAAGAGAGCGTGAAATCGCTGACAATCATACACGAGGACGAAGTGACGCACGTTAGCGTGAGGATCCAGTCCTGCGCGCCACGCAGACTGCGTTCGAAAACTCGTCAGCTGATGCTCTCTTCCTCCGCATTTCCACAGACTGGACATCGATGGCTGGTGCATTTGTGTCAAGCTCACAACCCTCCTCAAGATCCAGTGCAAGTCTTTCGCCAAAAGGTCCGCGAGAATTTCTCGGGAT